ATAAGGCTTGAAAGCAATCACGATTGATGAATGAAGAAGGACCAACCTCCAGCGTCATGTATCCATAGTACAAACAGAGTTGCCTCTGTGGTACAAACTCATGAATCTTGTTTGAGGATTTCGGTCGAGCAGTTTCTCAAACTTTTCTATTAGCAATGGATTCACTGCTTCACAACGGATGAGAAACCTGAAAGTCAGTTCAGCGAAACGATCTGTTAGGGGAAGGACACCCGCGAGTACCTCAAGACTCATCGTATGAGTCTAGTGCATACAGCCTAGCGCAATACGAAGGCAACGGTTTTGGATACGTTGCAGCTTAAGGATGTGTGTTTTTGCTGCAGATTGGAAGCAAAAGCTGCCGTACTCTAAAACCGAAAGGATGGTTGTTCGGTACAACCTGATCAGGTCTTCCGGGCTCCCCACCAAGTTCCGGTAATTGTACGAAGAAAATGAATCCTTTGCTGGCATTTTTGTTTCAGATAGGGTTAACTACCCCATTACCTTTCCGTACATACCGTAAGATTTGATAAAGAGAAACAAATTGTTGAGATATTGTTAAATGCTTCTTGACACCAAACTCGGCCTACGGATTCTAAACTCGGCATTGAAACGCCATTGAAGCGCCAATGAATTCGGAAGATAAAAATTAATTCGGTCAGGGCGCTTCATTTGTATTTAAGAATATTGGGTACAAACATTCATATCACGCGTTCTTATTGACTTCGTTCGGTAGCATTTGAACTAAAGTATCGTACCAAACGCAAAAATGGGCGCTTAGGACAAAGTAGTTCCTACCCTACGCAATATGTTTTTTTTTTCCTTGATTTGTTTTCCGTCGATCTTGTTTTCCGTCGATCTTGTTTTCCGTGCTGAGCATCAATGCTACCGACACCAGGAAGGCAGCTCCCACACCTGAACCCTACCTATCGACCCATAAACAAATAACCTGGGGGCCAACCGCTTTACTTCCGTGGCGTGATCAGAGATATTATGCCTTAGAACATCCCGGCAGCGCCGACTGGGATTGAACCCAGGCCTGCTGGGGTAAGAGGTAATCACGCTTACCACTACACCACCGGCGCCACTGAATATGTTTTCCCCATGTGTATTTGGAATCGAACCAGACACCTATATACTTAAAAGAAATACTTTGAGTGATTGTTCTACCCATTAGCTCAAGCTGTAACTGTGCAGGATGATGCTTCCTAGAAAAAACTACCAACTCAATTTTCTTCGGAGAGAATTCGATACCTAACTTCATAGCCCAAATAGACAAATTGTTCAAGGTATCTTGCAATGGTCCTTGCAGGTCCGGTGCACTTGGCCCTATAACAGACACAACGCCGTCATCTGTAAGCTGCCTTAGCGAGCAATTTTTATCAAGACAACCATCGATGTCCTTTACATAAAAATTATAAAGAAGAGGGCTTAAGCATATGCCCTGGGGGAGACCCATGTAACTAATTCGTGAAGTTGTCGAGTTTCCATGAGAAAAACTCATATATTTCTCAGACAACAAATAGCTCAAGAAATTGTTCATAACTGGTAAAAGCCCACTTGTGTAGAGTTTGTCCGAACCGACGTCGATACAAACGAAATCAAAAGCCCCTTAATGTCTAAGAAAACTGAACCCATTTGCTGATTTCGAGCATAGGCCAGTTGAATTTCGGTAGAAAGCAACACAAAGCAGTCATTCGTTCCTTTGCCCCTCCGAAATCCAAATTGCGTATCTGAAAGTGAACCATTCGTCTCGACCCACTTGTCTAGACGAAGAAGAATCATTTTCTCCAACAATTTCCGTATGCAGGATAGCAAGTTGAACTTGATTCTATCCATTCCCAGAGCTGAATTGTTACATGAGAGGAGCGCAAGTGAGAATTCCAGCATCTAAAACGGGGAATCTATTTAGTTACTACTCGATGGTCGATCACGAACGTTGATTTGAACCGACACCGAATCCGGGAAAACTTTCCGCGCGAAGCTGAACATCCATCTGTCTGAGTACTCCTTGACTTAAAAGTTTTTTCGAGGTGGGTATGCAGCTCAAAATCCCCGACCTTACCGTGTTTGCGGAAGCGTTTAAACGCGGCGGACTTCTCGCTGTTCGCGTCGGTGCAATCCTTATCCCACCACGGAGTGAGAGATCGTTTGCGAACGGAAACACCCGGAACGCGTTTCGTCTGTGCTTGAAGAGCGCAGACAACGATAAGCCACGATAAAAAGGAGTACTCATCCGGCGGAGGAAGTATCTCAACCGATTCCATACCACCGAGAACCGTGGCCGCACATTTTTGCCAGTCAATCTTTTTCGTGAGGTCGTAAGCGATGTCAACCGAGCGAGTGGAAGATGAACCATTGGTAATAGAAACTTTGATTGACAAGTGGTCACTACCGTAGGGAGCTTGGATTACTTTCCACGAGCAATACAACGATAGTGAAATGGAACAAAGTGAGAGGTCTAATCTGCTTACTTTTGCTGGAGGTTTGGCTACTCGTGTTACTTCCCCAGTGTTTAGAATTGTCATATTGAAGCTATCGCAAAGATTGTATATCAGCGTTGAGCGATTGTCATCGTACAGTTCCTCCCAGCCTGTACCGTGGGAGTTAAAATCTTCTAGTTTAGTTTAGGTAAAACTGAGCAGATATCTGAGAAACCTTGGCGAGAAATCGCAGTTTTCGGAGGAAGATATACTATAGGCATATAGATAGGCAATACTGAGGCTTTTACCTCGAACATTCACCTGACAGGCGACAACTACAATGCCTGTTACGGAAGGTAGATCGATTCTATAAAAGGAATGGAGTTTGTTGATCCCGAGAAGCACCTCTCCATACAAATCTGCTCGATCAAGGCGAATAATGTTAAAATCGTGGAAAGGGAGATCGGTTTCTGAGGAAAGTCATGTTTCACAAAGAACAAATGAATCACAAAGTGAGGTGTGAACTAAAATTTCGAATGCGTCTCAGTCTCACTGCAGAATTGAGATCATATCCCCGACCTCACTTAGAACATTATCCATCAAAGGATAGGGTCGATGCAAGAAAAGACCACCTGGAAGTTAGTTGCTTCAAAGAGTTTTCACAATTGGATGCACTAAATTAAAAATGTTCCGCGTTGAGTCAGAGACATTGTATATATTGAAGATGCTATCCACAATTCCAGAAAACGTGAACATGGGATCATGTTCCTGCTGGTTTTTCAGCTGTTCTTCTGACTGAAAAACTGGGATATCTGGGATTTTAGATGATCCCTGAAGTGGCGGAAAGTCCTTGTTAAAATTACAAGGCTTAAACCTCGGTGGTGGGGGTTTTGGTACATTTCCGCTACCTCTTAAATTTGTCAAGGTTGGACAGCTTAGGTTTTTCTCCCTGCTGTTTGTACTTCGGACAATCACTCAGAACATTCGGAGTATCCTTGCAGTAAACACATTTTGGGGCAGCACGACAAGGGCCCTCCGTATGTTCCTCGCCACATTGATCGCAGCGCGGTTTGTTGGAACAAAAGTCTGCAGTGTGACCAAGTTGCTTGCATTTCAAGCATATTACCCTCGGTATAAACAAACGTACAGGTAGTCGAACCTTCCCAATTGTGACGTAGTGTGGTAACGCCGATCCTGAAAAGGTTACACGGAACGAGTCTGAAAAGGAGCATGTTTTTGTCGTGTATATGAGTGACACTGACTGCAATTTCGTGCCTATGAGTGACACTGACTGTAATGCAACTTGCAGGAAATCTTCACGAGTCAGACTCGCTTCGATGACCACTCCTTCAATTTCACAACTGGAGACGTAGACTCGATATTTTATTGAAAAACGCTCGCAGGCAACAATCCGGTTTGCCTGTTTTCGGTCATCACCGGTAACGCGCATTTTTTGGCGTCACCCGGTTATGGCCGAAAAGGGGAAATGGTCTTTTCCGGCAAATAGTCTTTTCGGGGAAATTGTTCATTCCGAGATATGATTTTCCGGGTAACGGGTTGCCGGGTAATTGTTTTCCGGGAAATGTCATACAATTCAAAAAAATCTATGGAATCTACATAAAAACTCCGGAGTGATTTGATATTTGGGCGTAATTGCATTTGTAAACAAACACGTCAATCGCTGATTTCTCGCGAATAAAAGCTCAATCTCGAAAACAAATAACACTCTGAGGTAGAGGAATGATTCCTCTATCATTTGGTATGTATCGATTATAAGATTGAGCTTTTATTCAAGAGAAATCGGCAATTGACGTGTTTGTTTACAAAAGCAATTACGCCCATATCTCAAATCACTCCGGAACTATGTTTAATCAGAGTATTGGGAAAAATGCAAGGAACATATGCGGAAAAGTTTGAAAAGTTCGTAGAAAAACTACTGTTAACTTGGATTTCTCCAAGCACTAAACTCAGTCAAAATTCAATAAAAACATATTTAATAGTCACACTCTTGTGACAAAGTTAGTAGATAGTACAATATCCTATACTATGCAAGTTGTTACAGCAGTTTTCGTGGTTGTAGTCTCGAGACACAATTATTATAAACCAGAAATTTACCATAAATCTCACTTGAGGCACTTCTAAATCATCACCGATTTTGCTGATCATTTGCACAGAAACTCAACTTAATATGAGAAACAGTAATCTTGATTGACCAGGATGATCATTTATTTAAAATTAAAAAGGTTTAATCTCCAGGGTTAAACATGTTTGCATTCAATCAAATGTGACACAGACGCAGACATATTTCTTCCATAAAAGCACTACAGAGCAGTGAGAGTTGAATTGTATAGGATAAGCGGTTCAAGATAGGTCATCTACTTGATTTATTTATATTTCTGTTTGTCAACACTAACAGGCTATTGTAACCCCTGTTGATATTGACAAAACAAATAAATTATTAAACGTTCTGTATAATATCTTGCCTCGTGTCCCATTTTGGTCCACCTTACCCTATTCATTCTTTACTTATATGTACAAACAAATAGTGCTAAGAGTTATTCAATGTATGTTGTTTCTTACCTGCATGTACAGCAACAAAACTGGAACACGACCAGAGAATAGCAAAGTCATCGTAGTTTGTATAAAGCACCTGGTATTTTCCAGCACCTGGCAAATATCTAGCAACAGCGCTTGGCAACCTAGATTTTAACTGAAAATAAAATTGAAAATTGATGATTCATAAACGCACACAAACGGACAAAACATTGGAACTCAGTAGCGAGTAAATGACTAATGTTGAGTCAAACTATTTTCGACTTGCTTTTTTTTAACTAGTTCATTTATTTGGAAGGCTCAATTGCGTTAGCTTTACGGAGCCGATAGTTCATTGTTCTTTGTTTTTAACAAAATTCTCTTAATTCTATGTCTAGTAGGAGTTGGGCCGAATACTCGCAGCTTACTCGAGGATAGAGAGGTACATTGTCGAAGGATAGGATCAGGGTAGGAGCTTGGGGGTAAGGTTTCGTTGTCTCATCAGAGCGTTGTCGCCAGTATGAACGGTAGTGCGGTTCTAGTTTCGTCTGGGGTTCGACCGGCTATGGTGACCAGTGGGCGACGATGAGACTCATCGAGACTGGGGGGACAAGACAAACAAAAACTATTAAAGAGAGACAGAAGGCAAGACCATATGTAAAGCGTCCGTCTAGCGTACTGGGAGGTGTGGGTTCGATTCCCACCTGTAGACAGTGGAGTTTTTCACTTTTCTCGCAACATCTCCCAAACATATGGTCTTGCGTTCTGGTATCGTTTTCAAGAAGTTGTTTTTGATGTTACATATATGATTCAATTGCTTCAAATGAAAAGAGGTTTTTGTAATCATTTTGAAACTTATGGTAGTTTTTTTTGGAATGTGTAACATTAGAGCATGTCACATTAAATTAAAATATATCCATTATTGTCATTGTTTGTAAGATGGGAGCTAGAACTAGAAATTTTTAAAATATTTAAAATAAACTCGCCTATTTGAGCGCCGTCCGCTACCAAAACTGCTCAAGTAGACAACTAGCACCCCTTCTCAAGGGTTGGCAAACGTGTGTGGGAAGGAAGCTCAGTCCTCCCATTGCGAGCGAGGGAGAAGATAAATAGCCTCTCAATCGATTGATGAGGTCTCTTTTGCGGAAAACCTTGTGATAGTACGGACGCGCGGAATTATTAAGTCGAGTGTTAGAGAAGAGAAAAGAAAAATTACGGATTTTTGCCTTTGCGTGTGTGACACCTAGTGTGGCGAGTGAAACAGGCTGTTAACTAGGGCAGAAGAACCAAAACCCAGTCTCGGTAGTGCGTGATTCTGGTGTTCTGACGAAGTGTCCCGAAACCTGCACACGGCGTACGTGTTAATTGCCGCCGAGCTGGTCTCCAATCCCCGCCGTTTAATACATGCGTTCTCGACTGCCTGGGATTGGTGGTTCGCGAGTGTTCGTCGGTTATGTGGTAGCTGAAGCAGTGAAGAATTGCTTCCTTCGTGCTCCTGAAACCGGACCAGAACCGGCCGTTAGAACGGTCCACATTAGTGCGCGAGTGGATGAAGTGAAATTTCGAACCTACGTCCGAAAAGTGCACCGCAACCCATAAACATGAAAACGCGTGCCCACAGGATTCTTACGGAGAATACCTACCGCTAGTGCCTCGACGACTGCGATGACGCTGAGAGCTACGAGCGACGGCGCAGGCCCAACGTAACCTCTCAATCGACAGAGCAGGCAGCGGCAGCCCCTGAGGAAAAAGGTAAATTGTATTCTACCTTCATAATGTTATAAATGATTTTTAAGTTGCAAGAGGACGTTCTAAGATATCTCTTTTGTAATGTTTGCATCAACAAGGTGTTTAAGGCTCAAGATACCGTCACTCAATTCGGATTCTTCTTGGTTTTGAAATATTCTTCAATCATCATCATTAATATTCACATACATTCACACACAAGCCATTCGAAAATTTAAAGCAAGTATTTCATTATTTTACATCGTATATTTTCTGGGTAAAACACCATCACTGCATTGACTTTTTTTCCTCTGTTCGGGACCTAACACCACTGCGACCAGTAATTTGATCTATTGAAGTAGGGCAGAGAACTACTTCGGCCTAATCGCCCATTTTCGGCCTATCGAGCAGAAAACTTCAAATAAATCCATGATTTCAGAGTTAGTCAATTCAATTGTGCGTTTGGTACGATACTCAAGTTAATAAGCTACGGAACGAAGTCAATGAGAACGCGTGATATGAAGGTTTGCACCCATTATTCGCAAAAACAAAAGAAGCGCTCCAACCGAATCAATTTTTTTCTTCATCCGATAGGGTTTTTGGTCTAATTTCTGTCCTAGCAAGCACATCCCGCGCTTTACATCAAAACAAAAAAGGGAATATTTTGTCAAAAATGTCTTCTAAATGTATTCACTTTCCCATACGTACCGTTGGATTTGATAAAGAGTCACAAGTTGTTGAGATATTGTTTAAAATCTAATAATACTTCTTGATTCTAAATTTGTTCTAAGAGTTTCAATTCCGTCCAAACGCATTGAAATGCCATTAGATTTTCTTCGTCCTACGAATAAACGTAGAAAAAGGGGATTCGCTAGGAGCGCTTCTTTTGTTTTGAGAACAATGAGCGTAAATTTTCATACAATGCGCTTTAATAGGATTCATGTTGTAGCTAATGAACTAGCGCATCAGAACAAACCTCTTATTGTTTTGTACATGGTGAAATCACTGATATTATTGATCTTTTCTGATCGATAGAACGGAAATTGGCGATTACGACGAAGTAGTGCTCTACCATAGGCCGAAGTGAATTCATTGGCGTTTCAATGGCGTTTTAATGGCGTTTCAATGGCATTTCAATGCGTTAGGCCGAGTTTAGAATCCGTAGGCCGAGTTTGGCATCAAGAAGCAGTGTTAGACTTTTTACAATATCTCAAAGATTGGTTTCTCTTTATCAAATCTTACGGTACATATGGAAAGGTAAATAAAGGGTGTCCACGATGAAATTGCCACACTATGAAATTGCTCTAACTTTTTAACCGTTGGGTAGAATTTAATGAAAATTTGGGTGGATTTAGTTCATAGTGCATTATTTACATCCTGCAAGTTTTAAAGTCCTGTGATCAAAACTCGCGGAAATGGAGTCGAAAGAACAGCTCGTGCGTGATAAAATCTTGCGCATTCATCACGAGAACAAGGATCTCTCGCATCGTTCCATCGCTAAAACGTTGGGAATCGCGAATTCCACGGTGTCGCGAGTGATTAAGCGGTTCGAGGAACGGTTGACCACCGATCGGAAGCCCAGAAGTGAAGGAAAAAGTATTCCGTACAACACCAAAAACCACAACCGCGTAGTTGGGGCCTTCAACCGAAATCCGAACGCCTCCGTTAGGGATGTGGCTAAGAAGCTGCACCTAAGCCGAAGTTTTGTCCAGAAGGCCAAAACTAAGGCTGGGCTTCGAACGTTCAAGGTACAAAAGGCCCCTAATCGCGACGAGAAGCAGAACAAGTCCGCCAAAACCCGTGCCAGGAAGTTGTACCTCAACATGCTGACGAAAGTTGAATGCTGCATCATGGTCGACGAAACATATGTGAAGGCCGACTTCAAACAGATCCCCGGCAACCTGTTTTTCACGGCCAAGGATAAGTTCAGCGTTCCGGAGCATGTCCGCACTCAGAAGATGTCCAAATTTGCGAAGAAATTCCTGGTTTGGCAAGCCATCTGCACGTGCGGGAAGCGGAGTGCACCTTTCGTGACCCAGGACACGATGAACGGACAGGTGTACATAAAAGAGTGCCTCCAGAAGCGGCTGCTTCCTCTCCTGAAGGCCCACAACGTCCCAACAATCTTCTGGCCGGATTTGGCCTCATGCCACTACTCCAAGGACGTGCTGAAGTGGTATGCGGACAATAAGGTCAATTTCGTGCCGAAAATGTTCAACCCTCCCAACACTCCGAAGCTCCGCCCCATCGAGAAGTACTGGGCGATTATGAAGCAGCACCTTCTTAAACGACCTAAGGTAGTGAAGACAGTCGAGGAACTGAAGAAAGTATGGGTTTACATGCAAAAAACGGTTGATTCACAGGTTGTGCAGAATCTTATGGCCGGGGTTAAGGCCAAGGTGCGGGCATTTGCGTATGGACTGTAAATAAAATACGAGTAAAATGGTAAAATGAAGTTTAATAGTTATTTCTCAATCCCTGAAAATTTGATGGCAATCGGATGAAAACTCGAATTTTGCGAATCAATTTTGTGTGTGGCAATTTCATCGTGGACACCCTTTAAATTTGGAATCCATCAGTAATAATAACATTCCGTTTTGTGCTCAACTACGCTTGATTAAGAAAGACTAAGTGCGGGTTGTGCTTAATAGGCCGGAAATGGGGTAGTTAACCCTATATACCGTGTCCTTAGTTTAGTGCATTTCGTATTACTCCATCACTATTGAGAAATGTCGAAGTATTCGATTTTTTTACAGTTGTCATTCTCGCATTTATCGCAAGGATCCGACTCTAATTGAAAGGTTCCGCTATTTATACCCTTCGGAGTGTTGAAACACCCTCCAAAGGCGTGCCCCTTTGTCAGTCAAAACTGGATTCCTTAGCAACAAAATTAAGGAATGACACCGATAATGACCATGCACCAGAACCCTAGTCTTAACCACTTCAAACTAGGGAACAACGAATAGAAGATTAGGAATCACATAGGTGAAGACTAACTAACTCATTTTTTCCTTGTTTCAAGATCGTCCTCGGTGGACAAAGCCGAGTCTTGTCACTATCAACAAGGCATAAAAAGTAACAAGGACTAAGATGTGTTCCTTGGATTACTGAAAAATCCTGTTCTCCTAGTTTTAAGTAGTCAGGACTAGGAATCGGTACGTTGATAGAGGAAATGCTTCACCAAACCTGAGCGTCTGCTCACCATGGAGGTGCGGCTCAAAACGGCGTCTGTTCTCCATGTTAGGAGCGGCTGATCACCGTCCTAGTGCCAGCGTGGGACTCTAAACAGAGCTGTGCACGATGGTCCCCCGGCGAGACAGGGGGTTGGGGCAGGCCCAAAAAGCCGCCCTGGAAAAAAAAACAAAGTTGCAAATACCGAAGAAAGAAATACGGATCGGAACAATCGGCACGGACCTACGCGACGAAATAAGGACTACGATTGGAAACTCGGAA